TATAATAGACATAGTTGTTGATCACATTTGTTCATTGATTATTCCAAGATTAGCATATTCCTTAGTCACCTGACATTTATTATTAATAAAAAGTCATACTGTGAGTTGGGCAGCCAGAAATAAATAATGATTAAGTGAATAAGAATGAATTAAGTAACTAATCAAATAAGAAAAGTAGATCTGTTAATGAAGATGAAGGCACATGCGAACGTAATTTATTCTGACAGTTTGAAGTAAATTACCTCATATTGTGTGAATGACTGATGGAGCAGAATTCATTTTACAGAATAAAAGAAAAGGTTACATCACTTCATCTTGAACTTCATCTTGAAGTTCATTTGAAAGATGACAGTCAAAGAGAATTGGACTGGAAAAAGTGTAGTTTGAACATCACCAAATACAATGTCTTGAAAGCTTGGTTGAAAACAGAATGCTACTGTCTTCTTTGTCAGTAGTGAAACTGACAGAGCATTCAGACCCAGGTTTAATTGTTGTAGTAAATAATAGATTCAACTTGACACCAGAAATCTGGAGACAATCTAGTGGGAATCATAGTTAATTTGATAATTGTAGAGAAAATAATGATATCTATTTCTTCAGCTATGGAAATTATTAACATGAAAAGAAATGTCTCCTGTCTGCTTTAGAATGGCAGAGAAGGATCTATAAAAAGTGGGGAAATATTTTTAATATATATATATCTTAGATAAAAGCATAGATAGAAAAAATTAAGAAATAGAATGTGTGATCTTTGTTAATTTGATACAGGTGAACCATGATTAGTATGAGTTCAAATAATCCGATAAATGATTTAGTGTGAATTATATTTAGTGTGAATTAAATTATAATTAAATCTACTATAGTTCATTATAGGATAAAATACAAATAGAAACGTCTTTGGAGATTCTTAGTCATCCAGGTCATGATTGTCCCAAAGGTGTTTTTTCAAAAGGCAACTGGACTTTTTTAATAATAATAATAATAATAATAATAATAATAATAATAATAATAATAATAATAATAATAATAATAATAATAATAATAATAATAAAAGTTGGAAGGGACCTTGGAGGTCATGGAGTCCAGCCCCATGGAGTCCAGCCCCCTGCTCAGGCAGGAAACCCTACACCATTTCGGACAAATGGCTGTCCAGTCTCTTCTTAAAAACTTCCAGTGTTGGAGCATTCACTGCTTCTGGAGGCAGGTTGTTCCATTGGTTAATTGTTCTAACTGTCAGGAAGTTTCCCCCTAGTTCTAGGTTGCTTCTCTCCTTGATTAGTTTCCATCCATTGCTTCTTGTCCTGCCTTCAGGCTCTTTGGAGAATAGCTTGACTCCCTCTTCTTTGTGGCAGCCCCTGAGATATTGGAACACTATTATCATGTCCCCCCTCATCCTTCTCTTCGTTAAACTAGACATACCCAATTCCAGCAACCATTCCTTATATGCTTTAGCTTCCAGTCCCCTAATCATCTTTGTTGCTTTTCTCTGTACTCTTTCTAGAGTCTCAGCATATTTTTTACATAGTGGTGACCAAAACTGGATGCAGTATTCCAAGTGTGGCCTTATCAAGGCATTGTAAAGTGGTATTAATACTTCACATGAACTTGATTCTATCCCTCTGTTAATGCAGCCCAGCATGTGTTGGCTTTTTTGGAAGCTGCAGCACACTGCTGACTTATATTTAAGTGATTGTCCACTAGGACTCTGAGATCCCTCTCACAGTTACTACTATTGAGCAAGGTACCCCCTATACTATACCTGTGCATTTGGTTTTTCTTGCCTAAATGTAGAACCCTACTTTTTCACCATTGAATTTCATTTTGTTAGATAGCGCCCAGTGTTCCAGTCTGTCCAGATCCTCCTGTATCTTAAGCCTATCTTCTGGAGTGTTGGCTATTCCTGCCAGCTTGGTGTCATCTGCAAATTTGATGAGTTCCCCATCTATCCCCTCATCCAAATCATTGATGAAGATGTTGAAGAGGACTGGGCCTAGAACAGAGCTCTGGGGAACCCCCACTATACACTTCCCTCCATGTAGATGCAGTTCCATTGAGGACCACACGCTGAGTACAGCTGGTCAGCCAATCCATCTATGAATCCATCTGGTGGTGATGCTGTCTAACCCACATTTTTCTATCTTATCAAGTAGTAGGTTGTGATCTACTTTATCAAATGCCTTACTGAAGTCCAAGTAAATTATATCCACAGCATTTCTCTGATCTACTAATTTTGTCACTTGGTCAAAGAATGAAATAAGGTTTGTCTGGCATGATCTGTTTTTGACAAACCCATGTTGGCTTTTAGTAGTGATTTTGTTTGCCTCTAGGTGTTCGCTGATTCGTTGTTTCATTATCTTTTCCAGAATCTTCCCAGGTATTGAGGTCAGGCTGATAGGTCTGTAATTTCCTGAATCCATTTTTTTTTTCTTTTTGAAGATGGGAACTACATCAGCTCTTTTTCAGTCCTCTGGTAGTTCCCCAGTGCTCCAAGATCTTTGAAAAATATAGTTCAGTGGTTCTGAGATCACATCTGCCAGTTCCTTGAGAACCTTGGGGTGTAATCCATCTGGTCCTGGTGATTTGAACTCATCTAAGCTGGACAGATGCTCACTTATCTTTTACTATCCTATCTTAACTTGTGTTTCTATTTTGTTTTTATGGCACTATTTTTGATAGGTTGGTCTGTTTTTTTCCCTTTGTGTAAAGACAGATGCAAAAAATGAATTAAATAGTTCTGCTTTTTCCCTATTGCTTGTCACCTTCTTGCCACTTTCTTTGAAGACATTTTGCTTTTCATCCAAGACACTTCTTCAGCTCTGACTGGATGATGGGGAATGGAAGGATTTATATTCCTTGCACACAGTTAGTCATTTGTATTCTTTTAGAGAGTTGTTGAGGCCACTTGCAGGTTTATCTGTGTCCTCAAGGTCACCTGAGTGGTGCAAATGGGTCTGGAGCCTTCATATAACTGCTGAAAGAATTGTTTTGTAGACTGGAGATAGATAATGTTGTATCCCTCCCACTCTATTGAGAGAGGACTGTTCAATTTTGATACAGATGGTCTCTTTTACCCCTCTTTCAAACCAACAATCCTTTCTGTTCAAAATGTGAACTTTGTTGTCTTCAAAAGAGTAGCCTTTGTCTTTTTAAATGCAGATGGACTGCTGAATCTTGTCCTGATTGGTTTGTACTCCTATGTTGTGCCATGTGTTTATGAAGTGGTTGTTTTGTTTCCCAATGTACTGATCTGTACATGGGTCGCTGCATTGTGCTGCATATACCACGTTGCTCAGTTTGTGTCTGGGTGTTTTATCCTTGGGGTGGACAAGCTTCTGCCTTAGTGTATTCTTGGGTTTAAAGTCACATTTTAAGAAAGAAAGAAATGACAGCCAAATAAAGATAAATTAATTTTGCTAATCAGTTAACCAAACTATGTAGGAAATATACCACAGTAATAAAAGGTGACTTTAATTACCCTGACATCAACTGGGAGATAAACTCTGCATCAAGTGGGAGATAACTGTAGTAATAGAGTAGTAGAGAGGGATCTTGGAGTCCTAGTGGACAATCACCTAAATATGAGCCAGCAGTGTGCTGCAGCTGCTAAAAAAGCAAACACAGTGCCAGGCTGCACTAACAGAGGGATAGAATCAAGATCATGTGAAGTGTTAATACCACTTTACAATGCCTTGGTGAGGCCACACTTGGAATATTGCATCCAGTTTTGGTCACCATGATGTAAAAAAGGAGTTGAGACTCTAGAAAGAGTACAGAGAAGAGCAACAAAGATGATTAGTGGTCTGGAGGCTAAAATGTATAAGAAACGGTTGCTGGAATTGGGTGTGTCTAGTTTAATGAAAAGAAGGACGAGGGGGGACATGATAGCAGTGTTCCAATATCTCAGGGACTGTCACAAAGAAGACGGTGTCAAGCTATTTTCCAAGGTGCCTGAAGGCAGGACAAGAAGCAGTGGATAGAAACTAATCAAGGAGAGAAGCAACCTAGAACTAAGTAGAAATTTCCTGACAGAAAAAATAATCAGTTGACCAATCTGTTTCCAGAAGCTGTGAATGCTCCAACACTGGAAGTTTTTAAGAAGAGACTGGACAACCATTTGTCTGAAATGGTATACGGTTTCCCGCCTGAGCAGGGGGTTTGGACTAGATGACCTCCAATGTCCCTTCCAACTTTATTATTATTATAAAACATGTTCCCAACCAACCTAACTGGCAACTTTCTCATCCAAAAGGTAAAGGAGGGAACTAGAGAGGCTGCTATAATGGACCTAATTCTTACTAAGAGAGAAGAAATGATAGAGAGGGTGAAAGTTTCCAGAACTTTGGGTGAAAGTGACCATGTCTTATTGGAAGATTAATGCAAACACAAGCAATAGAATAAATCATTCTTAGCCTTTAATCCACAGTAACATGTAATAAATAATAATAATAAATGTACATAATAAATTAAATATCTAGGAGAAAACTCTTCACATCCTTGAAGAAGATAAAAGGGTCCGAGCCACCCAAATAATAGAGAAGAGTTTTTTTCCCCCATAGGGCAGAGACTGAAACACAGTAGTCCTATGTAATGGGTTTATGACCGCTCACTGAAACCATCTTGTCACAGCCAACTTGCTGTGGCCAACTCACTGTGGGACAACTCATTGCAGAACAAGAATTATATTAATATTGAAGAAATAGTGGAATGGAATCATTAAAGAAAGGAGGGAGAAAATGAAAAGTGAATGATAAAAATTAAAATAAATGTTAATTAACATTAAACATTAAAAATTAAAATAAATGTTAATTATTTTAAACAATTAATTGTCCCATGGTGAGTTGGCCATGGTGAGCTGTCCCACAATGAGTTGTAACGGGTTGCTGTTGCAAGTTGTCTGCAGCAAGTTGCCCCATTCTACTGTGTAATTGCATATGCCATATACTCTCTGGCTTAAATGTATACTTGGAAAATTATCAGACACATATATAAAGAAAAATGATTTATAATTTTCTTTTCATTAACTGATATTTATTGTTCAGTTCAGGTCTCATCACAATGATAAAACACTTGGGAAAAAAGATGCACACTAATAAGCCAGCACTGGATGAAATCATGGAGAAGATCTCCACAGCCAACATATATTTCCCCCTTGTGCTTAAATAAGTTGGAACAAAGCAAAGCCAAACACTGCAAAAGATCAACATGCTGAAGGTGATGAATTTGGCTTCATTGAAACTATCCGGTAATTTCCTAGCTAGAAAAGCAGCAGAGAAGCTGATCACAGCCAGAAAGCCCATAAAACCCAAAACACAATAGAACATGATGACTGATCCATCACTGCATTCCATGATGACTTCTTTAGGCATGGAGTGCACATCAAAATCTGGATATGGTGGAAAAAATGTTATCCATACTAAGCAAATAGTGGTTTGAATAAGGGAGCAGGAAAAAAGAATAAAAGTGACCATTCTTCCACCTACCCATTTCCTCATTTTGGAACCAGGTTTGGTGGCCATAAATGCTAGAACTACAACAAAGGTTTTGGACAATACACAAGAAACTGCCATAGAGAAGATGAGCCCAAATGCTGGTTGACGAAGGACACACAGAATTTTGTTAGGTCTCCCAATAAATAGAAACACACAAAGGAAAGAGAGGAGAAGAGAAACAAGGAGAGAGTAGGTGATATTCCGGTTGTTGGCTTTGACAATGGGAGTATTTTTATGTTTAGTAAAGATTGTAAGCACCAAAGTTGTCATAAAACAAAAACAAAGAGAAAGGACAGTAAGACTGATCCCCATGGGTTCTTCATAGGATAAAAAGCTGATCTGCTTTGGAAGGCATATATTTCTTTCAGGGTTTGGATAATGATCATCTGGGCACAGAGAACAGTCATCTATGTCTGAAAAAGAACAAAAGAGAGATGTTTATTCTGGAAAAATACCAATATATATTCTGGCTTATACACAGTGTCATTGTCCACTGAAATTGTCAATTTTGATCTTCATAAATTTAACACTTTCATCAGGACATTTAAGATGGCAATTGGTGCCATTATATTAGGTACTGTATGCTTAGCCTCATTATATTTTGAGCCTCCTTACCTTTCTCCTTTGATATTTTCCCCTCTGGACATGGAAGACAATCATAGCAGCAAAATGACTCCCCTTCTTTCTTGACCTTGCTGTATCCTGCCTTACAAGGATCATTACACAAAGAAAAAGGTGGTGTCTATCAAGAAATAAAAAATAATAATCTTTTGATATAGAAATTTAAAGCATTATAAAAATTATTAAAATGCAAAGCAGCCAAGAAATATCAAACATAAATTGCTCATGCAAGTAAGTAAGGGCTCCCTTCACATAGTCAGACCCCCCAAGCCTGGGCATGAAACCAGAGTTTTAGAGTCTTACAAAAGATCAGCATGATTTGGGCCTCCAGAGAGAGAAGGTTCCAGTAGAGGGGTACTAGAGCAGAAAAGGGAGATTTTATAGATTTTAAGCATTCTTTACCTGGTGGAACCTGAAGCATACTCCTCCTGTCTGATTGAAATAATTGGGGAGAGATTATCTTTCAAATAACTTAGTTCTAAGGGCTTTAGAGATGAGACCAGCACCTTTAATTGCACATGATAGGAGACTGGCAACCAACGGAGTTCACAGAATAATGATATATACCAAATAAACTAGTCATTTACTAGAAGCTCTGTTGCATTTCTGCAGTAGTTAAAGCTTCTGAACTCTCTTCAAGGGCAACTCCATGTTGAGAATATTGGTATAATCCATACGAGAGGTCATAAGGAAAAATGTGACAAATGTTTCTATACCGAATATTTTAAATGTAAACATTCATGCAGATTTTTTTTTCTTTCCACAGAGGATGTCTATAGAGGTTAAACAAGAGGTGATGCTATGAATTTTCCATCAATAGAGAGACATTTTTATGCTGTATAAATGAAGGCAGACAAACCTAAATTCATGCATCTAACCTGAGGAAATGCTACTGGCCATGTAATGGAATCCACAGAGATATTGAAGAATTTATTAGGCAGAGCTGTGGGATCTATTCGTCCAACTTTGACTCTAATAAAGGATTGGTTTGGGAATGTGATCCAATTAATAATATCAAATCCGCCAATGAATCCTCCATTTTTGTCAAAAGAGATCTTTTCACCAACACTGTTGTTGAACGAAACACTTCTCAGAAAGGAATGAAGCTGTAAATATAATGACAGATATAAAAAGAGGGAGGGAAGGAGGAAGGGAGGATTTATACTGGATACTTCTTGTTTGCTTTTATTTTATTTTATAGTCCAATACAATTTATACTTATTTAAGCTAGATGACCATAGATTAAACACATGAGAAATACTGGGATGTATAAGACTATAAGCATTTAAAATTATCCTTATTTGTAATAAACTTTATATTTCCAATAGTCGTATTAGGATTTGATTACTTATTGGCAGTCTGCTATCATGTGCAATTAAAGGTGCTGGTGTTATCTTTAAAGCTCTTCATGGCTTAGAACTAGGTTACTTGAGAGATTATCTCTCCCCAGTTATTTCAATCTAATCCAGTCAGGCAGGAGGAGTATGTTTCAGGTGCCATCAGCCAAAGAATACTTAAAGTTGATAAGATCTCCCTTTTCTGATCTAGTACCCCTCTTCTGGAACCTTCTCTCTCTGGAGGTCAAGTTGGCCCAAATCATGCTGACCTTTTGTAAGCAGAAAATCTCTAGTGTTTTTAGGGACTCCCTGTATATGTAAATGAATAATGTGTGAATGATTCCATTGTCTTAACAAGAATTCTCCATTTCAATCTTCATAAATTTGATAATTTCATCAGGGCCTTTTCAGGTGGCAATTAATGCAAATATATATATAAAATATACTAAATTATTTGAAATGGTCAGATGAATTAATACTTTCATTAATACTTACCCATAAATTATAATCTGAAACCATATTTTTCTACAACATATCAAACTATCCCACTTATTGAGGCATTATTCAAGGGAAAACAAGAGTAGCAGTTACTAAAATATAATAATGAGAACAGAGAATGTAAAAGGAACACTGTCAGGTCCCCAAAACCTCTGTGCTTCCCTTGCATATATATTATACTTTGGTGGCCTGCCATTCTGCTGGGTGGAGGGGGAACTTGGGATAACTTTCACTTTCTACTTTTCCTCTCCTGCCTCTAGCCTTGAGAAAGGAATGTGTCTCCCTTATCAGGGAGACGGTTACAGAGAAATGAAAGCTGGACAAGACCTTGAGATGTGTGCCAACTGTGCCAGTTACCTGCACACCATATCACCTGTGGATTGGCTGAATTTCAAAAGGACATTATGACTTGGTGGGAGGAGGAATATTGCTTGCTTAAGTATACCGTTTGTGTGGGATTTTTCCCAGATCTCACCTTGATTTCCCTACTGCCACTGACCCCTAATAAAAGTATCTTTTTGAGACAATACCAGTTTCAAGAATTCTGCTTTCTTGGGTGGTTAGTTGAAGTAGATCCTTACATAAGGCGAGATATGCATAGTACTCAACCTGGAGAAGCTGCTGCCCTACCGGGGGGAAAAAAGCAAAGGAAAAGAATCCAGAGCCTGCCCCACCTGACAAAGACGGAGAACAGGAGGAAGTGAAAACAGGGCCAATGGAAGCAGTGATGGAGTATGTGAAAAAGACCCTCAATGAATTTAAGCTGCAGCTGAAAGAAAGCCATGAGTTGGAAGAAGAGTCAGAGAGGGAATCAGAGGAGGAAGAATCAGAGGTCTGAGAGATGGCAGCAGCTGGAGTCCAGGAGGAAGCAGAGTGGTGGGTCGTCCATGTCAAGGAGCCAGCGGCAGACCTCCTCAGCCAGCTGAGCTGAAACCAATTCCAATTGGAATGAAGTTTGATGGAGACCCAAAGTGATTGGGGTATTTCCTGGCACAAGGGTTCACCTACATGCAGATCTATGGGAGAACGCTGCCTATCGATGTCAAGAAAGTTCGTGTTGTCACCCTGACTCTGGAAAGTGGGGCAGCTGACTGGATGATGACCATTTACAACTGCAATGTGCCTGAATAGAAAAACTTCAGTTGTTTTGTGGCCATACTCTGCAGGCATTTCAAAGACTGGCTGGTCAATAAGAAAGCACAGGAGTGGATTAAGACAGTGAAGCAAGGAAGGAGACCAGTTGCTGAGTATACCAAAGAGTTCAGAGAGTTGGCCAGTCACCTACACTGGCCAGAGGACAACCTCCAGTTGAACGAACTGGAAAAAATCATCAAAAAGAATTTAGAGTAGTTGTTTATCAAGCCAGTTAGACCCCAGGTAGCAGCCCCTATGTTATTCCGAGAGAAGAAAGATGGCTCTCTTCATCTCTGCATGGATTATAGGAGTTTGAATGCTGTGAGCGTGAAAAACATGTATTCATTACCTTTAATAAAAAATATATTAGCATACCTATCAAAAGGGAAAAAAATCTCAAAACTGGACTTGAGAGAAGCTTATTATCACATAAGAATAAAGAAAGGAGATGAGTGGAAAACTGCTTTCAATTGCCCATTGCGGTGCTTCCAATTTAAAGTTCTTCCCTTTGGGTTATAGGGGGGGCCTGCAGTATTCATGCAACTGATCAATAAAGTCTTACTTGATCACCTGTATAAGGGGGTCCTAGTTTACCTGAACGATATCCTTATTTACACTGAGATAAATGATGAACACATTAAGCTAGTCAGAGCAGTACTGAAAAAAAACTATGTTCTGCCAAACTGTATGTCAAACGATTAAAATGTGAATTCCACAAAGATCATATTGATTATGTGGATTATCGCATATCAAATGAAGGGACATAGAGGGACCCAGAGAAAGTGAGGGCAGTCTTACCCTGGGCACCTTCCAAAACCAGGAAACAGCTTGAAAGTTTCCTAGGATTTGAAAATTCTATAGACAATTCATCTTTTGCAAAGATTGTCCTCCCAATTATGAACCTGTTAAAGACCAGAGGGGGGATAAGCCAAAGCCCAGTCAACCATTAAAATGGACAGGAGAATGTTAAGCAGTTTTTAAGAAACTTAAAAGACTTTTTTCTGTGGAGCCGGTTATGAAACACATGGACCCTTTATAATTCAGGATGATGCCATTGATGTGGCTGTGGGAGCTGTTTTGTTCCAAAGAAATAAAGATGCAACCTTGTGCTCAAACCTCAAGAAAATTGTTAGAGACTGAACAGAGGTGGGCAGCATGGGAGAAAGAGGCCTATGTATGGTGGGCTTTACTCACTTGGAGGCATTTCCTTGAAGGAAATAAAATACTATTTCAAGTATGGAAACCTTGAAGCCATAAAAACATTGAGAAAACTTTCCCCTAAACAAGCAAGATTGTTCCAACATTTCAATCACTTCAATTTTACAATTCATTACCTCCCTGGGGGGAAGAATTTTCTAGATGATGCCTTATCCAGGTTACCACAATATAACAGTAAGAAAGCGGAAGTGGCCAATCCATTTCTGCATCCTCATCAACTGGCGGCCCTTGTAACCACTTAGGGGCCAATCAAAACCAATGGAACATGTTAGGAATACTTTATTACAGGAATTTAAAGCTGCCTTAGAAACAGATGAATGGTTTCACAACTATAATAACCTGTGTGCATTAAAAGATGGATTAGAGTGGATTGGTGAGAAACTTTATGTCCCAGCAGCCTTGAGATTTAAATTAATGCAAGCAGGACACAATTCAAAAACTGTTGAACACTTTGGTTTTGTAAAAACCTTACATCTTATTAAGAGATGATTTTGGTGGTCTGCATTGAAAAAGGACATAGAAAGCTATGTGGCCAGTTGCCCCACATGTGCAGCCACCAAGAGGTGACAAGGGAAATCCCCAGGACTGCTGCAATCAGTAGCAAGTCCGTCGGCACCCTGGAGAGATTTCTATGGATTTCATTGTAGAGCTGCCTGAAAGTGCTGGAAACACTGTAATTTGGGTTGTAACAGGCTTGTAATCATGCCCCAAGATTCCAACCACAAAGACTTCAGCTGAACTCTTTGTGTAGAACATATATCAGTTTCATGGAGCTCAGCAATGTATAATTTCAGACCGAGAGGTTCAATTCACTTCTAAGTTCTAGAAGGCTTTTTTGGACTTAATGGATTCTAGTCAGGGGCTATCATCTTCTCATCATCCTCAAACGAATGGGGGGACAGAGAGGATTAACTCAGTTCTAGAACAGTACCAGACATGTTTTATTAATTACCAACAAGACAATTGGGCTGACCTGTTATGTTTGCTGAGGTTGCCTATAATAATGCTGTACACTCTAGTACTGGTTTCACTCCATTTCAAGTGGGAAATGGTCAAACTTTTGTGGCCATGCCTGAACTTCCCACAAAAGAACCTGAGATCCCCTCTTTGAAGGAGTGGATCAAACAATTGCAAAACACCTGTCCAGTGGTCAGGAAGGCCCTGGATGAAGCCACAGAGGCCTATAAAGCCCAAGTTGACAAACGGAGGGTAGAGCAGAAAATGGGTCCTTACAAACATATTCAACATGTTTTCTGTTTCATTCTAGAGTAAACAGGAGTAAGCAAGGAACCCCAGAGTAAACAACATAGCACAATGGATTTTAAGTGACATAAAAATAGAGTTTGATTAAATTTTCAAAAATTAATTTCTGAGTGTAGAATAAGCCCAGCGCTGTGAAATAATGAGCAGAATATCAATGCAGGTGGCCTTAATAGAACATTAATTAATAGCTTCATGAAGAACATCTTAATCTCAAATGCTTTGAATAATGGGTATGACAGTCCTTTGGATAATCAAAAATTTCTATCTGATTCACTGCAAACATTCCAATCAAATCATCTATAACAAAAAGTTACCAAGCCTCTGATCCTGCACATAATGAAGAAGAAGATGATCTCTTTCCATCTACTTATAGACTCATCTTTAATTTGATGGACAGAAGCATATTCCAAAGGTCATTGCAGTAGGAGCCCTGGTGGCATAGTGGTTAGAATGTGGTATTGCAGGCTAGCTCTGCCCATAGTCTACAGTTCAATCCTGATGGAATCAAGGTTGGCTCAGCCTTCCATCATTCCAAAGCTGGAAAAATGAGGATCCAGATTGTTGGGGGCAATATTCTGACATTGTAAGCCATGCAGAGAGTGCTGTAAAGCACTATGGGAAAGTATATAAATCTAAGTGCTATTGCTATTGCTAATAGTTTTGTAGAACATCTATTATAATTTTAATATGAGCATATAAATATTCCAGTTCAGTAAATCAGTTGAACATTTCACTTTTTAGAATCATATCAAGGTCCTAAAAGAATATTATTTATTACGGTTTATAGACAGATCTTGCTACTACATGTATGGTGCATTTCTCTGCTTTAGATCTTACCTGCCACAACACTTGATTGTGAAATTGTTTCTTTCCTTCTTTCACTATTGTTCTTTGTCTGGACTTGGATAAATACAGAGATTGCAAAGCATGTGCCACAGCATAGACTGCATTGTAAATGTTGTAGCTTTGGCCACTCATGAGTGTTTCAAACACAGACTTAGGAAGGGTCTCAAGCCTCTCCTGTCCAGTACATTTTTTCTCAGACTTCTCTGTTTCAGGATTGGTGAAGAAACAATTGAATGCCTGTTCCCAGAAATCTTTCCTAAAATTATCATGCTGGTTGTTGGTTGGACTTATGCTTTCAAGAAATTTTGGAAAGTCTTCAACCTCCTTTGTGTGAACTGCAAAGGATAAAGCACCTTGCAGGAAATGGATATCCCAAGATTTATGAAAGGAAATTGAAGTGTAATCTGTCTGAGCTGATGTAACCCAGATTTTTGTCTTCTTTGGTATATCCTCCACTTCTGCTAATTGCAAGTACATTCTCAGAAAAGTTATGGACCTACTTTCACCATATAAGACTATGACATTGGCTGTGCTGGTCATAAGAACATGGTATATTTGGACTCCATCATCTATGACTTCATTATAATCAATGTAAAAATCTACATAAGGAAACTCTTGTATGAAATCAAAGCAGATGCCATGTTGGGAAAATATGGGTAATACTTCTTGTACAAATTTCTCTCCATTGTCATCATTCACAGCAAGAACACCAATCCACTTCCATCTAAAATACAGCAATAGTTGGAGGAGGGCGGTATGCTGATGGGATTCATCTGGAAACATTTGTTGGAAGAAAACTGCTTGAGTCTCTTTATCCATGACTGGAGCAGAGCCATAGATCAGCTAAAGGAAGCAAAAAAAAAAACCAAAACATTTACATTGGAGAATCCAAAGAACATTTTCATTGGAGAATTCAAATAGTTGCATTTATTTGCAAACATCTATCCAGGATACAGGAATGAAAGCAATATTTTTGTGAAACAACTCTCATTAAGTTTATTGTTTTTGCAAAGAAATGTAGAAACAAAAAAAAAGCCATAACTGTACTAGAAAAGGAAAAATTAAAGCTGAATCTGAATTTGGTCCCTAGGATTGTGGAATATTTGCATATGCCAAACATACACAGAGTCTGGCCAAAGATGTTATTGGTATTGTGCCAATCCAATCAAGAAGAAATAAATGTCTATGAGTCCTAAAATTAATTTCCTTCTCTCCCTCCAATCTTTCCATAATATTCTGGAGACACTGTTGGCCTATAGAAGGAAGCATCCTTGAATGCCCAAGACACAAAAAACACCCTAGTTATTGTCTTCTTCAAAATGCCAAAGTCTCTGCTTTGTTACCAGAGAGGTATACAGATTTGCAGGATTATAAGTGAAAGGAGGTTTCCCAAAGCTTAGAGGACAAAGAGATTTTATTTTAACAAGACCCCTAAATGCAGGTTTTATAGCAATAACAATAGCACTTAGACTTATATACCTGCCCATAGTGCTTTACAGCATTCTCTGAGTAGTTTGCAATTTCATCATATTGTCCTAAACAATCTCAGAAATCCTCATTTTACCATCCTTGGAATGATGGAAGGCTTAGTCAACACTGAGCCCCATCAGGATTAATCTCCAGGCAGGTTGTATAAATATTTATAGAAGTATATACTGAGAAGGTTAGATAAATAGAAGTATTAATGTAAGAGAAAATTAATCTTATTATATATAATACAGGTAGGGAAATTTGGAGAGAGGAGTTGCTCGGACATTACCCCTGAATTGTATCTGAAGAGGGATGAGAAGGAAGAAAGGAGAGGAGAGAGAAAAGAGTAAAGGAGGAGAGAAGGAAGTAGGAAGGCTGGAGGAGAAGAGAAGTAGGGAGAAGTGGTGAAGGAAAGAGAAGAGGAGAAGAAGAGGGAAGTAGGGAAGAGAAGAAAGGGAGAAAGAAGGTAGAGAAGAAGGAATGTGGATACAGTGAAAGGGGAAATGGACGAGCAACACCAAAAGTCATGTGTATGTACAGTATTTATTTCATTTTATCAAAAGTATCTTATATATGAATGTAAAAAGAATGTATGTTAACATCTGATAAATATCATGGTATATGTATGGGGGAGAGTTTGGAAAAATAAAAAAGTATTAATTTAAAAAAAAGGGATTAATCTCCAGGCTTGCAATGATGCATTCTAATCATTATGTCACCAGGACTCCTTATTTGTGCAGGTTGATTTCTTTCTATTTCTTTCTATTATTTTGAAATATACATCCAGACCAATTCTTCTCTCTATCTACTATTTAGATAAATCTTTCAAACTTTCTTAATGGATATGTATCAAAAAGGTTCTATAGAATCTGAACCATGCTCTTTATCATAAAAGCTAGCACTCTACGCTTGTTCAGGTAGTTGGTACAACTTCATCACTCTTACCTGAGGAACTTTGTAGATGTTTAGAAGAGTTGCCCCATGGAGACATATGTCAGATCCCATAATGACAGCAGCCAGATTTTTGGGGACCCCACATTTGAAGTTAGGAATGAATTGGCCCTGGGTAAAGGGAAGCCCCATGGATGCAATGTAAGTCCAACTTGGACTAAAATTGCTATTATAAATATGAAAGCCCAGCGTGACATTGGGCAGGATCTGAGGATTTTCATTGATCTCCTTGAGAGCAAATACTAAAGTCAGTATGTGCTGGTAGTTTTGATAATATATTCTGTAACAAAAATTACATAACAGATTTAAAAGGCTCTGCATCAGAAGATGGTATGTCCAATCTTCCAGACTTATATCCCAAAGAAAGAAACTTAATTTTCCTACCAGTAATATCAAATAAATATTAATCATGGGTAATACAGTTTCCTCAGATTTTAGTTCTATGTACGTTTTCTGAAGGTACACAAATCTATATTCACTACCTAGAATGAATTAGTTACAATTTGTCATAATGGACTTTTGATCTGTTTTTATGTAGCAATTAAAATGTACATTGAAAATATATCAAGGTATCCTATGTTTGAAAAAGGTGTTTCTGGGCTTTTGTTACTATAGCTTAGAGGAAAAAAGTTTTGAGCGTCATATAATTGAACAGTTGGACTCAGAGCTGAAAAATCAATCAATTAGGAACTTACATAAGTCCATCTTGAAGCTTCTCAGAAGGATGTTGATTGAAATCAGTGGGATCAGAAAATGACATGAACACTGAAATGATGCCACCAATGCTAACTTCTTCAAGCTGATGATATGTGTAACGAATAGGAACAGGCTCATCATGGTCACATTGAACATTAGGATCCTGGCATGCTATTTGAGGCATGACTATCAACAATAATACCATCAATGCTACCATCATCCATATAAGTCTTCTTTTGGTATACAAATGTCCCTGTCCACAACATGATTCTTGAAGGTGTCCAAGTAGAACAGTGTAACATGACTTCATTGGCTGTTTTTTTCAGGCAGAGATAGACAGTAATATCTACCACTGTTTATACTCACAGAGCTCTAAGGGCTTCTAATTTTAATGTCATGGGAAACATTAACAATGCTGTCATGGTCAGGTTATCATTTTGCCTTGGAGACCCATAGGATTTGGAATGTACAAACAGGCTAATTTTATAATGATAAAGAAACAAGCATCTGTCTCAAGATTTTTTATACTCACAACTAAAAAAAATGATGGCCTTCTGAGGCAAGAAGTGATGGAAAAAAGAATGAAATCACTATATATCTATATCAGTGTAGAAATAAAGAAACAGAAATAGAAATAGGTAATAAAACTAACAAATCTTTAAAAGTAGAGCTAAGAATTACAAAGCTAGAAGAAGTGTTTATTTTAAAATATTAACTAAATTTATTCTTTAACCTAATAGGCCTGACATCTCATATTAATAATAGTTCTTCAAGGTTTATTTCTTTTCTTTTTAAATAAAAGCTAATATCTCCAGTAAGAATAGGAAAACTTTTAGTTCCCAAATTTCAAAGGTATATGCATCCAATTAAATTAGAATTGTTCTTATAATTGCTCTTTTCCCCTGGGTAGTCAGCCCCCGCTGTTCTTAGAAGGTGGGGTAAGAGTTCCTTCCCTCTCTCCTCACAGGGGGAGAAATATTTTGGGCAGATTTTGCAGTAAAAAAATATTTAAAGTCTTAAAGAGAAGATCAGATCTCACGCAGTTTCAGCCACATTGCTTTAAAGGTGCTTGGTTGTAGTTTTGACTTCGGCTGTCAGCAGCTTAATGATGAGCCATATTACTATGGCCGGTCTTTTCCCCGCCGGTTTGGAAAGCTGCCCCAGATCAAGCGGCAGGGCTGCCACCTTTCCACGATTGAGTGGGGGTCCTCTCCTTGCTCATCACAGGGTGACTTTTGATCCTTTCCAGGGTCTCCCTGCAGGATAAAACCAGACACTGAAGATGGAGCTCACCTCCATGCATCTGCCAGCCCCGCGATGGCAAACCGGAAGTCTTCACTATAGGTTTTTAAGAAGAGACTGGACAGCCATCTGTCTGAAATGGTAAAGGGTCTCTTGCTTGACCAGGGGGTTGGACTAGAAGAATTCCAAGCTCTATTCTGATTGATTGATTGCTCTTTCTTATTTGATTGGTTATACTTTTGCTTTACATAACAGTCTTCCACAATATATATTGTGTAAATCAATTGGTTTCTCACTTCAATTGGTGGGAGGGGGATGTGTATTCCACAATCTTGCATCTTCTACCAGAGGCCTGAGAATTTGAAGTTCTGCATAATATATTAGCAATTACTGCAATTTTCTGGGCAGAGAGCTTTGATATTGTTCCTGGGATCTGCTGAAATCACTCTTCCAGCTTAGGAGTCACAACCTCAAGTGCCCCCATCACCACTGGACCACTTTGGCCTTTAATTTCCACGTGTTCTCTAATTTCTTTTTCAGGCCTGGTACTTCTTCAGCTTCCCATACTCCTTAATGTTGCTGCTACTTGGCACTGCTACATCTATCACTACTGCCCTTGTCCACTATCACAGTGTCTGGTTGATTGGTCAGTACCTGCCTATATCTGGAGGTCCCACAGGAACTTAGCACTCTTAGGAATCTGCTCCCTGGTCACAGCTTGTAGATTGTGAATCCCACTTCTGACACTAGATTTCTGTGGAATCAAAACACAGGACCCAAAGCAAGTAATCAACATGTGCTGGTGGGATTCCTCCCAAAGAATGAGAGAAATCCCACATCACAAAAGGATACACTCATATTTATATATCTCATGTGCATAAGAAACACATGATGTAAAGACATATGTATTCATAGGTAAAGGATCTCAGGTTCCTATAGGTAATGGAACTCAGGTTATTTCCTGCACCTGTCTATTGCCATAAACAAGAAGAAGTGATGAAGCAATAAACAATGGCAGAAAGGAATAAAGCAATTGTGAGAAGAAATTTCTCTAGTTCATTTCCCCAGCTGGGAATAATTCTTCAGCACAGAAAAAAGAATAGACACTAAATGAAGCAAGCTACCAGAAAGTAGATTTTATTTCAGAAACCAGACAATAATGACACAGCAATGGTTTCTGGACTAGCTAGTAGTTTTTCCATGGTGAGTGGTCCAACTCTTATACCCCTTGTCTTACTGAAATTTTAATTGGACTTTGTAAAGGTTATTTGTCTTCCTAATTTTCCTAGCCTGATTTTGTTAGACAGGAAGAGGTTAATCCTGTCTTCAGGAGATGGTTTGCTAATGGTTTCTCTGTGTGTGTTTGTGCTAATCTTGTCAGTTTTTACATTATTTCTATCAGGTGGGTATTTCTGTAGCCCCTAATCCAGTGGGTTTTTTATTGTTTACACAAGGCTCATTTTTTTGTGATTTCTTGTCGTCCAGGTGTTTCCTTTGGCTAACTAGTTCTTGTCTGTCTGCCCAGAATTACACAGGGTGGGGGTGGAAGAGTGAGAAAAAAGAAAAAAACCCTCTTCTTTGGTACTTTTAAATTTTGGCCTGATTTACTCTTTTTTGTAAAGGGAAATGGCTGTTTCCTTGAGGCATTGGAGAGGTTAGCTTGGAGTCCCATCTGGGGTGCCAAATTGTTGAATGAACTTTAAACACATATACACATATACACATTTCTCTCACTCCCCTGAGCTTTAAAGTTAAAATTTAGAGGTACTCACCTTCACCTTTCCAAAGCAGCCCTTGAACTCAAACTCAAACTTCCCTTTACTACCCTCAAACAGGAACAGGAAACAACCTCAAGGAACCCAGAGGATATAAAAACCCACTCCCTACATGTGTTCTCTCTCTTTTCATCCAGAGCCATCCTTCTGTCTGGCTTTCCTCTTCAATAAACTATAACCTTCTTTCTAAAGCAGTTGCCATGTTGTTTATTCCCGGTTTGGACTAAACCATGATGAAGAGTTTTTATTCAATAATCTGCATTTGTATCCCCTAGTTTTTGGGTCTGGGTTTGTGTTGTATTTCTAAAAGAAATGTTCTCCTGTCTCGGGAGTTTAGATTGATTCTAGTTTCTAATTTGGTTGGATATTATTGGATAATAATCTATCACAATAAGACAGGGGAGAAATCATCCTCCATAAATCAAGAGGAGGGAGCAGTTTGGGCAGATGCCAAAGGAAAATATCTCCCATGGCAAATCAAAGTGATTCTTAGAAAATATACAGAGAGATAAAATGCCACAGTCTGTTATAGACTGTGGCATTATTTCTCTCTATATATATCCTCTAAAATTGTTTTTTCCCACAGTACAGTATTGTTTTCTTGCTTTCTTGAATAGACCCTTATTTTTTCTTGTATACAGGTAGTCTTTGACTTACAACTATTTGTTTAGTGACAATTCAAAATTGCAACAGCACTGAAAAAAAGTAACTTAGAACTGTTTTCCACATTTATGACCATGACCATCAAAATTCTGATACTTGGCAAATGACTCATATTTATGATATTTGGCACTTAAATTTGGGGTTCAGTTGTGGACTACTTGTAATGAAAATTATAACTTAGACGTTTCTTAGAAGAGAAAATAATTTTCTGCTATGATTATCTTTGTTCAGAAGTAGAGAAAACATAATTTTTATGAACATGAATTTCTCCACATTAATATTTTCAATGTTAGATGTTCTTTCCCCATAATTAAGTGATTTTAGGATGAATCATAGATATGTTTCCCTTGCTAGGGTGCATATTAGGGATGTTTACATTATAAGAAACAAGTTTTTGGAATAACAAACAACAAACATTGGAGAACAAATATGGATTTTCCAGTGCTAAAAAAATGGCAAAAATATGATTGAGTGGAATAATAAGCTAACAATTTTGACACCATCAAGAAGTTGATTTAGATAATGATTTGAACAAATCTAATCCATAATAAGAAACACAAATAGGTTGGTGGGTGTATAAAAAGATGGATGATAGATATGATAAATAGATAGATACAGAGAGAGGGGGATAGATAGATAGATAGATAGATAGATAGATAGATAGATAGATAGATAGATAGATAGATAGATAGATAGACAGACAGACAGACAGACAGACAGACAGACAGACAGACAGACAGACAGATATATGCTACACTTCAGCAAATTCTAAAACTTTTGGAGGTTGTAATATTTCATTTTTGAAATCATCCAAAATGTCTTCCTTCTATGTATACAGAGATGTGTAGTGCAGTGTATATTCAAAAATCAGTGTTTTCACACAGAAGGGTTCTTTTAGAATTCTTATTACTGTGGTCTTTATTTTTTCCTGATTCACGCACATAAAACATTTCCATTATTTTGTCTTTAAGGTGAGACTGAATGAAAAACTATGACTTTGTGATTATCTACTGTACGTTGTAATTATCCAATTACACATGATTATCATCACTACTTTTCCAAATCCTTCAGAGTATCAGATGAAAACAGATGAAGGATGCTATTAATATTCCCCCAGACATTCAGAGCTGGGGTTGCAGTTAGAACATATTTGATCACTGATATATTACATTGCCCAGTTTAGTGTTCAAAACATTTGAGAGAATCATGGCAGGCTCTGCAATTTGGAAATATGCATTTGCAATGCTCAGCCACTCATCAAGGAAATATGCACTTGCCAAAGTGGAAACAGGTCCATCTGTATACAGGAGGAAGACTTTCAGGCAATATGGTGGTATTTATTGTTTCATTATTAGTATCAACGCCTGGGTGGTGTGTAAGGTCCCCAATCGTAATTGCAATGTTAGTAAATCTCTCCATATTCATCATAAATATGTTCAATCTGGAGATCTCAGAATTGCTGGCATTATTTCTCAACTCTATGTCTTTTCCAGTCCTGTTGCTTTCATTAAACTCCCTTCTCTGGAACTTCTTGATGATTTTGTGTAAGTCTTATATTTTTACCCTAGTGTTGAATCAAATTATTTTTAAGGCAATCTCTGGTACAGCTACCATCACTCAGTAAGGAACAGGGTGCATTAATCTTTTTAATCATTTTGTTTAACACTTAATATTCTGCTGCGGAAACTCTCTGTTTGAGTATACAGTCTTCTGTAAATGATAACAAATGACATTAAAACACTTTGCTAACAGCATTTTGTGTTAGTGTTGATAAATAATCAAGGGATAGCAGAATTGTGTTTGACTTAAATGTATTGGTCTAAGTTTAACTAAGAATAGCTATGACTCCTTATTGCACTATAGGTTTCAAAAATAACATCCTTAATCACCCATTGTTATGAAGCAGGTTTGTGATTCTGTGAATTCTACATAAATGTATAATGCAAATTATATTTCCTAAAACAAAGACAATGCTTTCTTGTTCAGAAATCCATTTATTTTTATATACTTTGTGAAATGCTCAGTATTAAGGTGATTTAAGCATAAATATAGGAAATACTTTTGGAACCATTTACTTTTAAAACAGCATGAAGTTTTCATTCCAGGGTATTGTTTCAGAGTTACCAACACATCCTGGCCTTAGCTTTTGCTATAAATGAAATCAATGAAAATCCCCAGATTTTACCGAATGTCACCGTGGGATTCAGCATCTATAATAGCTACTTCAGTCCAAGTTGGATCTACCTTGCCTCAATGGAGCTTCTCTTTGCTCAGACTAGATTCAGCCCCAATTTTAAGTGTGGCATTCAAAACAATCCAGCTGCAGTTATTGGAGGACCTGATATCTATTTTCACATGGCAACCATACTGGACATCTACACAGTTCCCCAGGTAAAGTGTACTTATGACACATATGAACTGAACAAGCCATTTACTGTTCTTGTGATTGTTTGGATGCAATTTTGTGGCTGAGATTTGGAAAAGGGTATGATTGAAAAATAACAAACAAAGTTTACATTGTGCTGGAAGATAAAATTCTTAATTAAAAATATACATAAAGTTACAATTTATGAAACAGACCTGTAATTTGCTTTCGTTTACAATTATGGGTTTTACTTGGTCTTTATTTTAGGCTTCAGCCATCTAATGAGTTCATTCCAAAATCTGTTTCTGAATCACAAAGCAGTGCATCATTTTAGTCCCAACTTTCTGCTTGAAATTATGAAGTCACAAATGCAAATATTTCCTCTAAATCTAAAAGACATCCATTTTTAGGGGGAAAAAAAATCTGCAGTTCAGATTTTCATTGCCTTTTGATTGATTGTATAATCAGCATTTATACTTGGCAAGGAGATGAATCTGTGAAACTGGAAGACAGTTTGCTATATATTAATATTTCTATATATTTAAGAATTTTCTTTTGCATGTTGTTGTTAATTGCAAAGTCGTGTCTGACCCATCACGACCCCATGGACAATGTTCCTCCAGGCCTTCCTGTCCTCTATATCTTCTGGAGTCTATTTAAATTCACGCCTACTGCTTCAGTGAGTCCATCCAGCCACTTCATTCTCTGTCATCCCCTTCTTCTATTGCCCTCAATCTTTCCCAGTATTAGGCTCTTCTCCAGTGAGTCCTTCCTTCTCATTAGGTGGGCAAAGTATTTGAGTTTCAACTTCAGGATCTGGCCTTCCAAAGAGCAGTCGGGGTTGATCTCTTCTAGGACTGACCGGTTTGAATGCCTTGGGATTCTCAGGAGTCTTCTCCAGCACCATAGTTCAAAGGCGTCAATTCTTTGTCGCTCAGCCTTTCTTACGGTCCAACTTTCACATCCATACATTGCAACTGGGAAAACTATGGCCTTGACTATACATCCTTATTTTGGCAGGATGATGTCTCTGCTTTTTAGTATGATGTCTAGATTTGCAATAGCTTTCCTCCCCATGATCAAGCATCTTTTAATTTCTTGGCTGCAGTCCCCATCTGAGGTGATCTTGGAGCCCAGGAAAATAAAATCTGTCACTACCTCCATTTCTTCCCCATCTATTTGCCAGGATTTGAGAGCACTGGATACCATGATCTTGGTTTTCTTAATGTTGAGTTTCAAGCGAACTTTTCACTCTCCTTCTTCACCCACATCAAGAGGCTCTTTAGTTCCTCTTCACTTTCTGCCATTAGAGTGGTATCATCTGCATATCTTAGGTTGTTGATATTTCTCCTGGCAATCTTAATTCAAACTTTTGATTCATCTAGCCCTGCCTTTCTCATGATGTGCTCTGCATATAAGTTAAATAGGCAGGGCGACAGTATACAGCCTTGCCGGACTCCTTTTCCAATTTTGAACCAATCATGGTTCCGTGTCCAGTTCTCACTGTTGCTTCTTGACCCGCATATAAGTTTCTCAAGAGACAAATGAGATGGTCTGGTACTCCATCTCTTTAAGAACTTGCCACAATTTGTTGTGATCCACACAATCAAAGGCTTTAGCATAGTCAATGAAGCAGAAGTAGATGTTTTTCTGGAACTCCCTAGCTTTCTCCATGATCCAGAGTATGTTGGCAATTTGATCTCTAGTTCCTCTGCCTCTTCAAAATCCTGCCTGTACTTCTGGTAGTTCTCGATCCATATACTGCTGGAGTCTAGCTTGTAGGATTTTAAGCATAACTTTACTAGCATGTGAAATGAGTGCAATGGTGTGATAGTCTGAACATTCTTTGGCATTGCCTTTCTTTGGAATTGGAATGTAAACTGACCTTTTCCAATCCTGTGGCCACTGTTGAGTTTTCCAAATTTGCTGGCAAATTGAGTGTAGCACTTTTACTGCATCGTCTTTTAAGATTTTGAATAGCTCAGCTGGAATACTGTCACCTCCATTAGCTTTGTTGTTGCTCAGATTTCCTAAGGCCCATTTCACTTCACATTCTAGGATGTCTGGCTCAAGGTCAGTCACCACCCCATTGTGGTTATCAGGGATGCTAAGCTCATTCTTGTATAGTTCTTCTGTGTAATTTTGCCACTTCTTCTTAATCTCTTCTGCCTCTGTTAAGTCCCTGCTATTTTGGTTCTTTATCATGCCCATCTTTGCATGAAACGTTCCCTTCATATCTCCGATTTTCTTGAAGAGATCTCTGCTTCTCCCTATTCTATTGTTTTCTTCTATTTCTTTGCACTGTTCATTTAAGAGGGCATCCTTACCTCTTCTGGCTATTCTCTGGAATTCTGCATTCAATTGGGTGTATCTTTCTCTTTCTTCCTTGCTTTTCATTTCCCTTCTTTCCTCAGCTATTTGCAAAGCTTCCTCAAACAGCCATTTTGCTTTCTTGCATTTCTTTTTCTTAGGATGGTTTTAGTTGCTACCTCTTGTACAATGTTGCGAATCTCTGTCCTTAGTTCTTAAGGCACTCTCTCTATCAGATCTAATTCCTTAAATCTATTTGTCACCTCTACTGTATATTCATCAGGGATATGATTTAGTTCATACCTGAGTGGCCTGTTATTCTGATTATCTTTTGGCTCCCTACTTTAACATTCCAATCCTCCATGATGATAAGGACATCATTTTTGGTTTTGTTTCTATAAGGTGCTGTAGGGCTTCATTGTTGTTGTTAATTGTGAAGTCGTGCCCAACCCATCGCGACCCCATGGACAACGCTGCTCCAGGTCCTCCTGTCCTCTACCATCTTCTGGAGTCCATTTAAGTTCACACCTACTGCTTCAGTGACTCCATCCAGCCATTTCATTCTCTGTCGTCCCCTTCTTCTATTGCCCTCAATCTTTCCCAGCATTAGGCCCTTCTCCAGTGAGTCCTTCCTTCTCATTAGTTGGCCAAAGTATTTGAGTTTCAACTTCAGGATCTGGCCTTCTAAAGAGCAGTCGGGGTTGATCTCTTCTAGGACTGACCGGTTTGAACGCCTTGCAGTCCAAGGGACTCGCGGGAGTTTTCTCCAGCACTATAGTTCAAAGGCCTCAATTCTTTGGCGCTCAGCCTTTCTTATGGTCCAACTTTCACAGCCATACATGGCTTCATAGAACCAGTCAATTTCATCCTCTTCAGCACCAGTGATTAGGGCATAGACTTGGACTACTGTGACATTGAATGGTTTGCCTTGGATTTGCACTGAGATCATTCTGTCATCTTTTGCATACAATTACCAAAAATCTTGGTCCCTTAGAAAATTATGGAACAGTGTGCTAAAAGCCATGTTCAAGGTGTGGAAGAAAATCAAACTAAACACATAATAAGAAATTCCATGATTAACTTTTTGTTGGCATAGGATTTCCAATCTGGATCTAAGTTGTGTTGCATGAGGTTTTAAGGCTTTCACCCTCACAACATTTTTATGCTTATTGTATTCTCTGGTGTAAAGATTCCCATTCATTTTAATGAGAACGTCTTCATGCATTTGTAATATAGGACTGCAATATGAAACATTTACTAAAATTTGTTATTTCTTTTTTAAAAGAAACTTCTAGAATTGTTCAAGTTTATGTGCATATGTGTGTGTGTGTGTGTGTGTGTGCGTTTGTGTTCTTCCAGATTCAACCTTGAGTAGTAAAGCATATGTTCAAGTCAGTTTCCTTCTAAGGGCAGTAGGCTTTACTTCTTGTCCAGATGTTTTCTATAGCAGTACATTCATAATGTACACATGTCCACATGGAAAAAATGGAAATTGTCCAATTTGTTGATAATCATCATAAGCACACATGAGTATCTCCATGAAACTGGATATTTCAAACTGATGTTTGAAAATAGTCATTGTAATTTAAAAAACATAACACTATTTAGAGAGCCAGTTTGGTGTAGTGATTAAGGCATTGGGTCTGAAACTGGGAATTGTGAATTTTAGTCATTAAGCCCATTTGGTGACATTGGGCCAGTCATTCTTGCTTTGCCCTAGGAAGCAGGAAATAGCAAACCACTTCTGAAATCTTACCTCCCCAAAAAATACAGGAAACTGTCTATGCAATCATCAGCGGTCAACACTGATTCCAAGGGAAAGAAAAAAAAATCTAGCACTATTTAAAAGGAAAAAAATAGTCTTACTCATTCTTCATTCTTCCCTATCATTTTTCTTAGCTGACCTATGGCTCTGCTCCAGTCATGGATAAAGAGACTCAAGGAGTTTTCTTCCAACAAATGTTTCCAAATGAATCCCATCAACATAAGGGCCTCCTCCAGCTTTTGCTATACTTTAGATGGATCTGGATTGGAGTTCTTGCTGTAAATGATGACCAAGGGGAAAAATTTATACAGGAGGTGCTCTCCACTTTTTACCAGCAGGGCATCTGTTTTGATTTCATAGAAGAGTTCCCAAAGGTAGATTTTTACAGTGACTTTACGGATGTGATGGACGAAACATGCAAAACCTACTCTGTTATTGCAAAAAGCACAACCAAGGTGATTGTCTTATATGGTACAATGGAATCCATGAATTTTTTGAAAATGTTAGTGCAGTATTCAGAAGTGGAGGATATGTCATTGAAAACAAAGGTCTGGATCATGAATGCTGAAATGGATTTCACGTCCATTTCTCTTCAAAGAGATTGGGATGTAAATTTCCTCCAAAGTGCTTTATCCTTTGCAGTTCATTCAAAGGAGCTGCCAGGCTTCCAGAAATTTCTTCTAATCAGAAATCCAAGAACAGCAGAACACGATGGGTTTCTAAAGAATTTCTGGCAGCATGCATTTAGGTGCTTGTTTGACAACTCTCATCTAGATAATAAAGATGGCACAATCTGTACAAGGAAGGAGAAGATGGCAACCCTTCCTGCATCTGTGTTTGAATTTAGCACAACTGCCCACAGCTATAATGTGTACAATGCTGTCTATACTGTAGCTTATGCTTTGGAGGCAATGCATTCATCAAAACTCAAGCACAACTTTATTGTGGGGAGAAGAGGGCTCAGGCTTCAGAATCAGCAACTGTGGCAGGTAATGTTCAGAGTAGAGATATGCTGCAGATCTGCAAGTTCATTCTATGGGCCAACTAGAAGGCTCACTCCAAAGAAAAGTAGGACATCTAAGAGCTATATCCGAAAGGTGCTTTTTCAAGAGGCAACTGGACTTTCTTATTTTTTCTTTGAAGATGTTTTGCTTCTCATCCAAGAAGCTTCTTCAGTTCTGACTGGATGGTGGAGAATGGAAGGATTTATATTCCTTGCAGACATCTGGTCATTTGCATTCTTTTGGAGAGTTGTTAAGGCCAGTTGGAGGTTTATCTGTATCCTCAAGGTCAACTGAGTAATGCAAATGGGTGTGGAGCCTTCTTGCAACTGCTGAAAGGACTGTTTTGTAGACTGGAGATAGATGATGTCGTATATCTCCCCCTATATTGAGACAGTTAGAGCTGTTCAGTATACTTGAACAGTCAGGCATTCATATTCTCATATTATTCTCATATCCAATATTTTTCACTATTGCTCAGAAGGATATCTGTTGGAGACAAATGCTTTCCTCTAGGCTGAAACTCATCAAGGGGAAAAAAAAAACATTTTAACAACCAAGTTACCCTCTTTCCTTATGTGACATCTTTCAAGCCCTTCCATTACAAAATAATATATTGAAATATATGTGTACATTTTCATGTGCTTAAGAAACTCATAGATTAATAAATGTATATATTTAAAAAAAATCTAATAAACAAACTCCATATGAAATGGACTTTGACCAGAAATAGAATGACGAATGAGTCATATTTTATCTTCCTTCTCACCCTTTTTAATTTAGCTTAATCTTTTCCTGAGAAGGGTCTCATTCAACAACAGTGTTGGAGAAAAGATTTCCTTTGACAAAAATGGGGAATTCATTGGTGGATTTGATATTAACAACTGGGTCACATTCCCAAACCGGTCATTTTTCAGGATCCAGGTTGGAAGGATAGATCCTACGATTTCCCCAGACAAATTTTTCAACATTTCTGAAGATTCCATCATGTGGCCAAAAAGCTTGAACCAGGTGAGTTCTGACTAGTTGTGTTTTATTTTGTTTAAACAACATTAAAAACATTCTGGATTCAAATATGTTGCTTAGCTTCTTCCCTGGGACAAGCAAATTTTAATTTTATATTCAATATAAAATATTTTTATAATTTTTAAAGGCTATTTCCTAGCAGCAGAAAGATTCATAAATATCTATTGTTTATCGATAGATACCAAATATTTTATAAATTGTTACAATTTACATGACCAAAAAACTTTTTTTTTGGCTCTAAGTATTTTCTTAGTCATGCACTCTGAAAACTTGGTTTTGAAATTTAGCCTGCAATCATATGTATGTATGTATGTATGTATGTATGTATGTATGTATGCATATTTTTTTCAAATTCTTTTTTTTCTACATGTTCAAATTGATACCCTTATATATGTCAGCATGCAGGTCCCATCACCTCTATTCAACTCAGCCTGTATCTTCCTGGATGGGGATGATATGTAGTATCTCCAAATCATCTAAATCAGTGATGGCGAATTTTTTAGAGACCGAGTGCCCAAACTGCAACCCAAAACCCACTTATTTATCGCCAATTGTTGGGTGGGTATGGCCCACTGGGTGGGCATGGCTGCAGTGGGCATGGCCACCTCGATGTTGCTCATGGGGAGGGACATTTGTGGGGGCTGGGTAGGGTTGGAAAGATCCAGAGGGTTTCTGGTGGGTGGGGCAGTGTGCAGGAGGCTTGTCCTGTGGGGTGAGGTGAGGCAAGGCAGGGGCAGGGCAGGAGTGCCATTGCCATAGGGCAAAGCAAGGTGAGGTAGGGGATGGGGTGGCTGCTGCCTAACACCATTGGCCCCTGCACAAAGAGATCAGCGAGCGCATGGGGGTTGACGGGATCCTTCAGCAGCCACACCCTGCCGGCCCCTTGACCAGCGCACTCTGGGACTCTGTAGCCCACTGCAAATACCGGGCCAGCCCTCCAGCAGCAGGCGGAGTTGGGGGGAGGCGCATGATGCAGACTGCCGGATGCGCCTACTCCATCCCATCTGTTTTTGCTTACAGTTGGAGAACAGGTCACTGCTGGTCATCTCCTTGGCCCCTTCAGAAATCTTACCCTTGGCCCGCATGTGGAACCTATTCCCCTTGCACACCTGACACACCTTAGCCTTGCCTTGGGCTGCCACTGCCAGCAGCTCGTGCAGGTCCATTAGGCTGCCACTGCTACCTCCTGCCCAGCCCTGCAGGTGGGATGATTCAAGTACATCAGACAGCAAAAAAAAAAAAAAGATACAATAACTGAACTGAGCCATAATACTCTTGAAAATGTAAGGCTGCTGGCATCTCTGTTCTCTTAATAAATATAAATGATGAGACATAGAACAAAGGTTCTAAAAGCACATACCAGCCACAGTTGCTTGCTACTGGTGATCACGTATAAACAATATCCTTAGATCACCTAGGGATGCCCAAATAGAAAAATTAATGGAATATAAGGATAATGATAATGTTGATGTCTGCAGATCTCCTGCCCAGATCCAGAAGAGATCATTTAAAATAAATCCATATAATAGATGTGTTTAGACTGAGGCAGGGAATATTGAAGTTACATACCATGAAGATTGAGTGCAGTAGGAAAGTGAGCAAAGGAAGCCTAGTCAAAATAACTAGATAACTCAGGGAGATGCTTATAAAAGGATATTGAGAAAAAAAGTGACAAGTTGGGAACAAGTGTTTATCTCCTAATGAAGAGTCATGGCTGTTTCAAGAAAGCTGCTGTTACAGAAAAGGGTGGAAATCAGAAAAATCCAGACCTTCCAGGCAGATTTTTTTTTTTAAAAAAAAAACCTTTATCAATCCTCCTTTAGTTTTAAGGTTATACAATTATCACACATCAGTCATTACAGAAGTCAAACAGGAAAAACGCAAAATGGATAAACAAAATGTAGTGTGACATTCTCACCCTAGATCAGCATTTCTCAATTTCAGCAATTTTAAGAAGTTTATATTTCAACTTCCAGAATCCCCAGTCAGTCAGCCAGTAAGACTAGACTAAACTGGAGTAGATGATCTGAATAGAGAGAATATACCAAAACAGAATGGAGTTAGCCAGACCCCCGCTCCAGCACAAGTCCCTCTTCTACATATTGCTAGAGAACAGAATAAAAACAAATGAATAAAGGAGATGGCCTGAAAGCCAGGATAAATCTTAATACTTTCAGTCCCTCCCCGTCACAGTGCTGTACATAAATTATGAACAGGATTCTTTTTTGGCCCAGAAATCATTCATTTCAGGATCAATTCAGAACAGTATGTACCTATAGCCAGGATTCTGAACAAAATGGATTCAGGTTTGTCCACATTCTAAAGGGAAAATGAGAATGTGTCTGAAGCCATTTCATTGCTTCTCAAGACCCTGGCTCCAGATGCATCTGATTCACATTCTGGTTGGCATGTTTAACTTCCTCTGAATAACAGTTATCAGGGAACATAAGCAGAATAGTGTCATTGTATTCATGCTCTGCTGGTGAGCACTGACTGAGCAGGCTGTGGTAAAATGCTAGACTAGATTCCCCTGATCTAAGGGGAACTCAAGGGGAACTGGGTTCAAATTGCCCCTGGGTTGTGGAGATACAGGAAAGAAGCCGAGGTGGCGCAGCAGTTAGAGTGCAGTACTGCAGGCCACTTTAGCTGACTGTGTCCAGCAGGTCAGTGGTTCAAATCTCACCGGCTCAAGGTTGACTCAGCCTTCCATCCTACCGAGTTAGGTAAAATGAGGACCCAGATTGTTGGGGGCAATGTAATATATATATATATACATTGCTTACTGGTATACATCGCTTAGAGAGTGCTTGCACTTAAAGCGGTATATAAGTCTCATAAATAAATAAATAAAACATTTAAGTGATTCTCAATTCCATGTATTTATCTTGATGAGTTATCATAGCTTTAAAAAGATCCATATTAATTATTTGCTCTTAGAGCAAGTATGTTCTGCCTAACTTTGGCTCCTGGTATCATCCCAAATAGTGGAAGGAAGAGCTGCTGCCTCTCTCTGATAGTTCAGTGCGAAAGGCTGGACATAGTCTTAACAGCTGTACTATGGTAGGAGAGATGAGCATTTGCTTATTTGAGTAGACAACTGTGCACTAGAGGCAATTGTCTCTACTACACATCTCTCCTCATGGTAGCAAGGCAGGAAGAATAAATCTATTTTTTTATTCAGGGAAAGAAGACAAAGATTGAGTGGGGTCCTGTGGACTCAGGTCTTCCTTGCTGTGCCTCCGCAGTTCACTCACTTTGCTTGAGTAGGTGAACAAATCAATCCCTTCCTCCATTTTTTTCTCCAAAGGGGGAAAAGCATTGGTCTATTTGTTTAACTGAGCCCTGGAAGAAGCTACCCTTTCCTCTCTCCCTCTTTGGGCACTAGTGCTATGAGGATGTGGTAGTTATGTTCACACAACCTGCTCAGCCAGTAAGTTAAAAAAGGTTAAGGGAAGAGCGGTGTGCCATTATCTTAAACTGCCCCCCCACCTCAAACTTATTCACTAGGCTAGGGCCAGAAGCTTTTCAATTTTCTTTTTTCAAATTCAAAACAGAACCAGTTCTGGTTCCAATAATCTGATGCTGAATATTAAGCCACAAATGACTTGAGTAAGGGGAGAATGCATACATCTTTTTTGACCCCTTCTGATGATTAATTTGTTGTGTGAACATGGCCCAAGTTTGCTCTTCACCCAAGAGCAAAAGTCAGTGGAATCAGAAGTTTTGGGCAACTATCTTTTCTGCTTGTTTATCTAAATAGGCCTGTGAGTAACAGAGATGGCTAAAAAAAAAGCTGCTGCCAGTCCCTTCATTCCCCCAAATGGCAAAGTGTATGAGACTGAATGCTTCCTCCAGCCTTCTGGAGGAAAAAAGAAAGTAAAGGAAGACTAGTTTTTCATAGTTGCAGCAACATGGCTTGCTCAGTCAGCCAAGCTGGGAATCAACAATGGGGATGGTTGTCT